TTGTACATCCTTGTGCACACAGAAGACCCAACAACACCTCCTCAACACCTATAAAGTCACAGCTCCCTTCTACACACAGAAAACAAAACAACACCATACAGCACGTAGGCTCTTAATAACATCAACACCCCTTGTACACAGAACAATTAACAACACCTCAACATCGATAAAGAACAACCCCCTTCTGCGCACACAAAACCAAACAACACCATAGAACTGTAGACCTAGAATCTTTGTGGAATCAAGCCCCCAAAGGCACACAGAAAACGTGGCCAAATCTTGACATTTGTGAAACGACAGAGTTCCTGGGCTCACATCCAAAACCCAACAACTTTTTACATTGATAGAGCCTGCCCGTCTACATCACACCCTGACAGGCACCAAAACCACATTCTAAAGAATTGGTCAGCCTTGGGGGCCTAATCAATAGCAATTTTTTTTCGAGGTTTTCTCTTAAAAACACCGTTGCTTGATGATGCCCGTAAACCGGCATATTCTAAAGAACGCCCGCAAAGGGATTTCAAAAGCCGGCTTTGACTTTTTCCAAGCGCCCTTGGTGTGTCAATGTACTTCAATATCTTTCGGTCAGTTGGGCATCATCTTTGACATTTCCCAATCTCAGATTCAAGCGCTTGTCTTTGTTTTGGAGGTTGTCGGTTTGACTCTTTCTGTTTTGGGTACTCTTTCTGTTTTGATTGACATCAGCGAGTAGGAAGAACGACGCATTCAAACGATGCCGCTTCTTCACCGTGCTCGCCAGTGCAAATCATTCTTGCGAAATCGTCACCTCTCAAAACTTTCGCCCGCCCTGCGGTGCATGACCCTGGCTGCGACCCCGCTCAGTGTCCTGTGTAGAACTTCCTGCAATGACTGGGCGGTGTAGCGCGAGGGTGGCCCTGAGCGGCAACGTGGCTTGGGGCTGGGGGTCGTTCGCAAAGACCTGGTTGGCGTGACCTTGAAGAGGCACAGTGGCAGTATCAGCCTTCTTGTGAATTCCATCGCCTGCTCGAACGAAGTCATTGACGTGGAGACCAAACAGCCCATCCAGCGTGCGTGGTTTGAGCAAGCTGCGTGGTAGATGGCCAGAGGCCTCGCCCAACCGAAACTTGCCAACAGCGAGCGCTCGTGATCCTGCGCGGGTCATGTTACGCAAGCCATGAGTGAGGTGCCTGCAAAATGCGCGAAAGGCGGGCTTTGATTGTCGCCCTCATCACCACCCACAGCGAGGTCTATCGTGTTCTCAGGCACCTCCACGCATCGATGGAGGGCTGACTGAACGTCAGCTAGCCCCACACACACACACACCGGCCTTTGCTGACAGGCTTCGACCAACCATATCCAGAATGTGAAGCCCTGTTTATTTCCAAAGTGCCCCTGAAAGACTTTAAGATGTCTTTGTGCTGCGCTTCGTTCGCCTTTCATCTTTCAATGGTGAGCTCACAAAGGCCTCCTTCATAGCAGAGTTCATGACCCTTGTTCTTTCGGCTGGAGACATTCAGGCCCGTGACATGGGTTTGCGATAACCTCCAGGCATCTTCGCCAACGATTTTTGCCCCGACTCGTGCCATCAATGGAGGATCAGTTCGAACTCCTTTCCACGTGTTCAAAGCAGTGCGGTGGCATGGAACTCTTCGCCCCTGCTCCCATTGAACTGTTGGAAGAGGGCAGTTGGGCTGCACGGGCTCAAGCAGCAGCTCATGGGGAAGAGATCCCCTTTGCTGCGGCCAGAAGGATCACGAACCTGGGTGACGAATTTCAATTCAACATGACTTTAAGGGATGGAGACGATCTCAAGCCTAATTTTCTTATCATTTTGTATGCGCAGTTTCCAGCTAGAGCTGATGCATGGCTGGAGCGCTCGCACCGGAATTGTGCAATACTGCAATGCTGTTGCTACAGGTCTCATCTACCCTCGTTTCATCTCGGCGCATCACATTTCTATATACATTGATCAACCCGTCCGGGCTAACTAGGACCCTTGAGTCACTGCGACTACGACATTGAGCACAAAGGTCTGCGTTCGCAACTATGATTACAATGCGCGCAAGCCACCCAGGAATCTTCTTGGTGGATCTGAGGACCATCTGCTTCATCGCCTCCATTCTCAGCTTGCGAAAGAACACATACTTCAAGGAATGCAACACAGTGCGTTTGTGCTAGAAATTTCTTGTCGACAACTGTGGTCATATTTGCAAGACACTTTGCAAGACCTGTAAGTACTTGCAGAACTATGAAGCTATCTGGGCTCTTAAAGAGCCTTTCTGGTGAAATGATCTGTGCTGGGCTCCTTCTGCTTTGCAGATTGGAACACTTGCAACATCTGCCAAGTGTGCTCTTTGAGGTTAAAAACACGTCGCGCATCTCTTTCCCGACTCCTTCATCAATGCCTCAATGCGCATCTCTCTGGGCACCAAAATTTCTTCTATGTTGACCAGAACAAGGAATCGAACAGTATCGCTATCAGCATCACAATGCAACTATAGGCGCTGGTGCAGTGTTGCATCGAGCTTTGCTGAAAGTTGAGGGCTCCTCGAGGTATCTACACCAACATATAAACTCAATGGCAGCATTCTACAATCCACTGCCAGGCCGGCCTTCAATGATGCAAAGGGGTAGGTGCCCTCGGAAAGTCCTGCCGTAAAATGCTTTGAGCCTTTCTGGCTTTCCAAGCACATTTGGCTGTCACTACTTATATAAAGCACAAATCTTGAAGCCTTGAGATCGTTGCGTAACTGAAAGGAGAAAGCGAATGGATGACCTAAGCTTGCTCACATCTTTTGCTTGGAGAATCCAAGTCCAGCGCTTGGCTCGAAGAAGTCAAATCTGCGCTCTGCGCTGGAACTTCGAAGCTTCTGATTTGTCTTTTTGCTATTCCCAACATGTAATTACCCTATTCAACCGTTTTGGAGCACAGTGCTTGCTATTGCCTGTTTTGCCAAACATTACCAGTGTCCCCCCCTATCACTCTGCCACGATGTTATGTCAGATTGTTGTTGAGGTACATGACATACGTCACACGCACGAAACTTGTTTCCAAAGCTGCCGTCTCCGCCGTCATTGTTTCGCCTAAGAATCCTTTCTTTTGGTTCATTCATTTGTCCGCTTCGCTTTTCTTTGCGCGATCGCAACACATGTTTGCACTACACTATAGACTATAATATGTAATACAAATAAACATATTTTAGTAATCAAATTAGGTACATATATATATTATAGTTATGTATATATACACACACATTCTTTCAGACCTTTGGTGCTTGAATGGATCTTGTCAGGTTGTTATGGCCTCATAGCTAAAGTACCATCGATGTGTCCATGAAAACCTGCTCAAAGCACCAATTAAGGATCGCTGGACCCACAGCTGTGGTTATATAGTTGCAATCTAGGTGATGCTGATGGAACATGGATATATAAACTATAAACACTATTATTACTATTGAAGCAGCACAAAGCAGGGACCAACAATCGGCCAACGTTCATGTTCATGTTCAAACACCTTTTGTGGAGTTTCGATGAGTCTTGCGCCTTCCTGCCACCGGACTCATCAGTGGAGGCATGCTAGGGCACTCCAAACTCTCTTGTCATTGTTGTTAGACCGGCGACACATGCGCACCATGAATATCAATGAATGATAGTACTGATCAATTTTTGCCACTCGTGCTAGCGGCTATGGTACTTTGTTGATAGACAGTGGCAAGGTTTTTGATCCTCCTGGCTGGCTGGCTACAATCAAATGCTGCAGCCACCCCTCCAAACCATACTACTGTACACCATTAAACTGGTCATCACGCATTGACATGTTTCTTTTTGGACTCTGAAGTGCCAATCATACAGCTAGCCTGAAAACTCCTAAGCTACTGCATCAGTCGGCCAAGCCTGTGCTAAGAATTTCACCCGGCACAAGGTTTGTCATGGGTGCCGCGAGCATACTCTGCAAGAGGTTGAGCAAAATGGGAATGGGACCTCGTGTTGTCAAGCAGCAAGCCCACTGCTCACTGCGTGCTGTTGGGCTACAGCATCGCCCCGTGTTCAAAGTGCCCAACGAAAAGGTTGGAGAGGCAAACTTGAACTCGGCCATGTCCTTGGTTGTGAGAAAACACGAGCGACTCCCGTAAAAAACAGCACGGTGGTTCAACATGTTGCAGCAACTACTCATATGTCGCTGATCATGTTTGTGACTGCGTGCGAAGCTTCGATCGTGGTTGTTGTGCCGGTTCTTCTCAGTGGACCTTTGAACATGTTGCTGGCATCCAACTACAAAAAGAATGTGCCGAAAAGGCGGATGAAAGCGGTTGATAAGGCCCAACATGCTATATTATTTTCGACTGCTTGCATGTTGAGACATGGCATGCTGCATCCACCCACATCGAATCATGTGCACACTCTATCATGTGGGTAAGTTTCCCTAAAAATCTAGGAACCAAATGATTTGTCATGATTTGTCCGTGAGCTATCCTGCGTCCATATGTAGTAGCTTGAGTATACAGTATATAGCTTGGAACAACTTCTCCATTGCTTAATTAAAAAAGGAAAGTTCTATATTGTCCGCCTTTTCCAGCTGAGCAGCTCTGTCGGACGCTGCCCGTTTTTCTCTCTTGAGAATCCAGCAGTCTGCGAATAGTTTCGAGTTTTCTGCCTGCCCTCAGTTGCATGCAAAATTCACCTCTTGATGGCCGTTTGGTTTCCGCATGTTCAAGCGGGGTGATGTGTGTTTGAGGAATCATTTTGACATCAAAACAGAATGCCAAGCCGACAACATGCAACCAGTTCTTGATAGCACCGTTTGAACCACCGTTGTTTTGGACAATCAAGTCAAGCTGCAACAAACACCTTGCAAAAAAGGAATGTCGGGCCTTTGTATTGGTAAAGAAACCCTGGTCCCAGCAAGCTTGATTGTCACGCCTCAGATGCAACACATCCAAAGTTTTCAAATCCAACAAATTCTTAGCAATGACCTCCAACCTACTAGCAATCGCCTCCCCTTACTCCAAAAATATCGAAACCTAAATTGCAGCTCAGCACCCTTCAGAGCGGATGGCAACTTTTGCATGAGGAGCAGCACGGATGTGTCATCCACTTGAACACAATCCGACAGATCTATTTGAAGCACCTGGTGGTCGGGTCACTTCGATGGACTGAAACGAAACGATTCTTGACCGCTTCGTTGCTCCTCGCAACCATATCTAATTGCTACCTCTGCTTCTTGCTGATGCCCGACGCAAGTCTTCAAATCCAGCAATGCTGTAATGCAGGCGAAATATCAATCCCTAGCATTTTAGCAAAAATAACCCGAATCGATCCGAATCGGGGAAAATGCCTAGGTGGCAACGTGCATGCAACGTGAACTTGTCGTCCTTTGTGATGTGAGCAGCATTGCAGTGTTTTGATGTGTTTTGAGGGTTGGTGGTGCTCAGATGTGCTCAGTCCTTTGGCATCGTCAGGAATTCCTCACCCAACGCTCAACCCTAGCAGCATTACCCACGTGCGAACAATGTGCGAAGCTCAACAACATGGGCGCTTTTGGTCCAGGGCATCTTGTTGTTGACAATGATTTTGAGCGTACGTTGGAATTCCAGCCCAGCAACTAGCAACCGAAGTTGGGGTTCTATCTTAGAAAAAAGGAGCTGGCCACCTGAACTCTGTGGCTGGGCTCTGTGTCGAGGCCTTGTCCTCCTCTTGTCCTCTGTGGCTGGGCTCTGTGTCGAGGCCTTGTCCTCCTCTTGTCTTTTGTGGTTGGGCCAGCCCTTGTCCTCCTCTGTGTCCAGGCCTTGTCCTCCTCTTGTCCTTCTCCTGAACTCTGAACTCTGTGGCCCGGGCCTTGTCCTCCTCTTGGCCGCGCCCCTGAACTCTGTGGCTGGGCTCTGTCTCCAGGCCTTGTCCTCCTCTTGTCCTCCTCCGTGGCCCTCCTCTTGTCCTCCTCTGTGGCCCGGCTCTGTGTCCTCTTGTCCCGCGCCCTGTGGCTGGCTTGTCCTCCTTGTCTTGGCCGCGCCCTGAACTCTGGCTGCGCTCCGCCACTTGTCCTGCCGTTCTCCTCTCCTTGCCGTACTGTTATCCTCCTCTCTCTTGTCCTGCTGTTGTCCTGTCCTTGTCGTCCTCTTGTCCCGCTGTTGTCTTCCTCTTGTCCTTCTCTTGTCCGCCTGAAGCTTGCCTGGACCGCGCCGACTGACAATGGAAGGGGTGGGTTCTTCGAAGGCCATGCGTTTGTCCTGCGTTCGGCGCGTTGCAGGGCGGGCTCTGGAACGTTCGGTCAGCGCGCTCAGCGCGCGCTCGGGGAGCGTGTTCCGCAAGCTTCTCAAGCGCTTTTGGGTGTGCGCCAGCGCGCTCCAGGTGTGCTTACTTAAGGGCGCGCGCTCTGGCGCGCTCTGTATATGTGCTCGCGCTGCGGGCGCGCTTGGCAGGTGTTTGCGTGGAACGCGCAGCCAGCGCACCCTGAAGCTTGGAGCCCTCCTTCAATTAGCGCGCAATTCCTTAAAGGTTGCTTCTTAAAGGTTAAAGGCGCTTGGAGCGAGTTTTGGGCACGCTCCAGGAACAGCCCAAAGGTGCGCTGCAGGCGCGCTCGACTGTGGCTCTGGGCACGCTCTGTCTGGAAGGCGTTGGCGGCTCACTCTGGTGAAAGGTGTTCGAGTCCATAGCTATTCCTGTGAGCCCTCAATTGTTTGAACGCATTTGGCAAGATTTGTGTCCTCTTCAGTTAGATATTGGGCGCGCGCTGTAGAACGTGCTGGGGGCGCGCTGTTAACTGGGCGCGCTTGGGAGCCCATTTGAGGAATAGTTCCGAGTGGTTTTGAATTTTTCGACTGGCTGGCCGCGCCCGTCCTCCTTTCCTCCTCCTCTCCTCTTGTGCTGTTCTTGTCCTCTGGCTGCCTTTTGTCCTTCTCTTGCCCTCGTCTTGGCGTTGCAACACGGACTTTGGAACGTTCGGTCAGCACGCTCAGCACGCCCTTGGGGAGCGTGCTTTGGAGCGCTTGCTTCACGTTGCGCGCGCTCCCTTGCCCGCCCAATTTTGCCACAAGCTTCTCAAACATTTTTGGGCGCGCGCCAGCGCGCTCCAGGCGCGCTCGGGGAGTGTGCTTACTTAAGGACGCGCGCTCCGGCACGCTCTGGCTACTTGCTGCCAACGCGCCCTGGGCGCGCTCGGCAGGTGTTTGGAGGGCACGTTACAGATGCGCTCTGGAACGCGCTGGCAGCGCAATTTGAAGAACGGTGTTCAGGTCTAGTCTGGCAAGCGCGCTCTTTAATTCGTGTTTAGGCGCGCTCCAGGCGCGCCCGCTTAGGAGCGCGCGCTGGCGAACCCTGTGTTTTCCTCCTGCTTCTTGTGGCCACGTTTTCGAACCCTGTGGGTCCTCCTGGTGTTCCCCGCTGTCCTCGTGCCACGGTCGCAAACCCCGTGTCCTTCTTTTGTTGTTTGTCCAGGTCTGCCTGTCCTGCTTGTCCACGTTGTGGGCCCGTTTATCACCGTCTTACTCGGGGCTTGTCCCCTGCTATGTGGCTATGAATGCAATAGTGACACAGCGATCGAAATGCGATATCGCCATCGGATCTTCTCACGACATATATCCGGTATCCCATCGTTTTGCGCGTGTGACACAGGCATCAGGAACTGGTGTTTTCAAGCATTTGTTTCCACCAACAGCTGGAGGCCTTAGAAAAGTATACCTGCATTTGTTTCCACCAACATTGGAATTTTCGGAGTTGACGCCGACGCCGGCAAAAAATGCTGACGCTGTTTGGGGTCTATGTAATTTTTTTCGGAGAAGTTCGCAGGCACTACCGGTTTTCCGACCGGTGCCTGGACATCAGTCCCGTTGCTCGCGTGTTCTTTCCCAAACATTGCCCCGAAAAGGTTTCCTCTATAACAGCAAGGTTTAGCACTCCGTTAGTCGCAACATGCTTCTGCGAGTCCTGTGGGTGCTGTTGTTCTTGGACTTTTGTACTCAGAGCAGTGATGTGGAGTGGCTATATAGTTTCCAAGGGTTCTTTTCACAAAGCAGTGTGTCATTTCCGCGGGCTCCGGATCCATACCCAACACACACACACTTATGGATATGCGTACTGACTTGACAGCGGTGCCACACGCCAGCCTAAGAAACCCAAATCCTGAAAACCCAGGTGAGGGGGCCTGAGCGCCTGTAGTTAAAGGCCAAAGTTCCAAAGTTCCAAAGCCACGAGACGACGAACAGGTCGAAGTGACGGCGGTCCGTGGACATCTGCAGAACTCACTAGCCCTTTACGAGAAGATTGGAGTGAAAGCTTGTCAACACTACATCCAAGCAGGTACGTCGGAGTGATCAGCTCCGATATCCTCCCAACTCATGAGCAGCTTCGTTGGCAGTAGACTCATGAGTGGGCTACTGCCCCCTGCTGAAGAAAAAAGAAACAATTCAACGGAATCCCTGTGACTACAAGGGGCACACACACACACATCCCTACTTCAGGACTTGGGTTTCAGTTTCCTGTCCGACTTCGTGGGCAGCATACTTCTAGTATGCTCTCGTTTCGGCTGCTTTGGCCATGGTGCCTATATAGGCGGCCTAGGTCTCACTTTGACCCTGAGCTTTGTTCTTCTATGCTTTACCCCTTGTGGCGGTTGACTCAGTGTAGAGGGAAACTGTAAAGTGGACACCCTCAATCTTTAACGGGTAGCGGCAGCGAGCTCGAGAGGCAGGTCCGTGTGCGGCATGGTCTGCAACAAGCGCAATCGCCACACCTTAAGCATGCGTGGCATTTTGAAGGCCAGCCATCTCACAGCATCATTGTTAATTCGATCACCTTGGTGAGGCAAATGAGGTGCACCATATTGCACTGTAATTCCGGAATATCACAACAACATCATATCCTAAATCAAGTTCATACTTGTCATTCTACCATAAACATTAATGTGGCACTATTTGCCTTCTTTCTTGCCATCAGTCCATGTCGATTCCCCAGCATGAACCAATCTGTATAAGTTTTCGTACGTTTTCGTTGCCGAAGCACACACACTGAAGTTCAAAGACAGCATCGACATTTCAGGCGGAAGACTCAAGACCTGATTAGTGCTGACTTGGGATGACTGAATAACTTACTACACCGGCATGGAATGACAAACGCATATAAAGGCTCTCACAGGATTAAACATGGAGCTGCAGTGCTGGACCTTGTCTTTGCTAGCTCAGCAGCCATGGATTGGACTCCAGAGCTTGTGAAATATGGGCAGCCCCTGAGAGTGTGTGAACATCTTCTACACTCCATTCTTGGAAGTGACATGCTCATACATGCTCAGCGTCTGGGCTGAACATTGAAGTTGTGCTCTCCATGAGTGAGGCGAGTTGACATTTTCTTGTTTGAATCAGCGCTTCGCTGCGCTCCCTGCCAGCCTCAATCCCAAGTGCAGGTTCATCAGGCGTGGTGGAAAGCTTTCAGCGATAGTTCTCACTTGCCTGTGGTCCATATTCTCGATGCCTGTTCAACACGGGCATGCATGGCTGGGCCACGAAATGGACTTAGGGCACACATGAGTATGGTTGCAGCAAGCCTTGGACCTTGGAATGTCTTTGCACTTCGTCATTAGACGTTCTGTCTTCTTTCGTCACCTAGTATGGCTCCGATCAGCCTCCAATGTCAATGCTGAGGACACGCAAATTTCGAAGGTTTGCAATGCCCTTTGCCAAACCCAGAATGTTGCGTACGGCAAAAGCACCGTGAAAGTTCCTTGGTCCGACATGTAAGGCCACAACGCGGAGCACCTCCACATTCACTACCCTCACCAATCTGCATTGAAAAGGCTAACCACAGGTGAAAAGATGTGAAAAGCACCAGCAGAAAACAAATTGGCCTTGCCTTGCTGCTGGAGCGTTCCGCAGTATGACCAACATTCATAAACATCCCGCATGGTAGCGTATGGTAACATGCTAGGAACAATCCTTGTATCACCTCTGGCAAAGCGTCAAACGAAGGACTGTGATCGTCGTTGGCAAGCATAAGCCCAGTGCGTCCACACCTGTCGTCAATTCGTCATTTTACATGTCCATTTTTCATTGAGCACGGCAAACTGCGAAATGTTCCCTGGTGCAAAGAAAACACCGACAGCATGCTTCACCCTTCAAATCCAAAACTACAAGCATCGGCCTGTTTGACCAATGCGGGAGCACATCTGGCAATCCAAAGTAAGTGTCTCCAAATGTTTGAGCTGAGACAAACTTTTCGAAAGTGCTCGAATTCCCGGAGTTCCAATTTGACTGGACCTTGGGGTCGACAATTCGACAATGCTGCAAACGCAAACCCAACAGGCATTGTCACACCTACCCAGCACTGGAACTCTGCATCGATTGTACAAGATCATGCAAGATCAAGAAGTGCAAATGACATGACACTGCCATGGGCCATGAGCAATCCTACTAGATGCGAAAGCAGTGATTGCTTGCTAGTGTGTTGATTGACTCAATAAACCGGACCAGGCTTCCAAAGTGATAACTGCAAATGCAATAGATTGCTTGGCAGTGCTGCTGCAAGCTGTGCCAAGTGATAGTCACCAAAACTCAGATGTGCATGATCGCGACCATTGATATGGGCTGGGTACGCATTTTTTAAAGCACAATATAGTCACAACAGCTCATGATCATTGACAGTGACAACATTGTGACAACATGGTCTTATCTTCGGTGTCTGCGGCACTTGGAATGTGAGAAGTTCTTGTTCAGGGTGGTTCTTTCCTCGTCAGCCAAAATTACACGAGCCAAGCGCTTGGGGTCTGCGAGCCCTTGCTGAATGACCTGCCATCATTGTCGTTCAAATCAGGCCGTGGTGCAATGATGTGCAAAGATCCCATGAAAGGGAACGTGGCAAACTATGGCACACGACACTAACTATGGTTGCTTTCGCCTGATACCACATTGCTAAAGCTAGTTCGCCCCGCAGGCGGCGATTGAACTTGCAAAAGCGCTCCTGGCGCCGCACGAAACAGATTTTGATCAACTTCCAATCCAAATTTCCTGAATTCGGTCGCACCAGGCCGACCTGTGATGTCCTTGCTTCGCCGGGCTCTGGGAGATGAGAAGGTTCAAATCCTGAAGCTGGTGGACCGATTCGAATAACATGGGCAACAAGCAAATAACATCAAGAAAAACATGCATCGTCGGAAAGACTTAGAAAGCATGTACAGTAAATACTCGACAACACCAACTATATAACTGCAAGGACAGGAAAATCATCGATTATGAATTATCAATATACCATAGAAATCCATAGCAAAGCAAGGACAAACACAGCATTGTGTCACCGTGTCACCTGCGACAGCTTGGAGAATCCTCTCATAATCTTCCTGCAAACAAAACGGAGTTCAACACAACATGAGCAAAAACGACTTGCGTCTACTTGTAGCAATCTAATGACAATCCTGACAATCCACGCGGACTCTGAGCCCATGTACTGGTGTGTGAGACGCTTGAACACTATGCAGCTTGGTATAGTTTACAACAAACTAAGTAGACAGAACATGACAGAACTATGTAAGTGTCTTGGACTTGCTACCCATGCTGTTTCTACTGCATCATGCAAGTTAGGGACATCACCTCGTCAACCTTCATAGCTTGCTGGACTTACATGTTGTCAGTTTACAATGATGGTTGACAAACTGCTGGCGTGCATTGCATGTCGCAGTGAAGAACATATATTGAGACTGACTGACCTGACATAGGTCTCTTGACAACTTGATAGGAGGCCATGAGGTGTGATATGAGTCCATGGTCTTGATAGTTTCAGATCCAACAAAAAACACGTTGCTTTCGCCTCATCAGTTGTTGTTGTTTTTATTCTTTAAACCGGATTTTTTTTTCTTGCAAGGGTGATCCCTGAACTTCATTTGGATGAGTATTTGAAGGAAACACTGTCTGCTTCAGCTGATGGATTGGACATCTTTGGAGAATCTCCGAAAACCGAATTACCAAATGAAACAACATTTAGTCATATTTAATCTACAGTATCAGGAAACCCTAAAACTACAAAACCTCCAAGGCCTGGATTCAAGGGCAATTCCAACTGCCTACAAAGTGTAAACCATACATTATACCGGCATAGACCCCAGATAGCACTTCAAGAAAAGCCGGGAAAGGGATGGAAAAGGTAAACAAAACCAAAATAATCTTAAAACCGCATCCGCATCAAAGGCAGGCAAGAAAATGACAAGGCGGCAGCGGCAGCCAAGAGCGAAATCAGGAACAGGGACAAGCTTGGGAACCACGGCGGCAGCGGCAGCCAAGAGCGAAATCATGAAGGGAGACAGGCTTGGGAGACCAGGCGGCAGCGGCAGCCAAAAGCGAAATCATGAAGGGAGACAAGCTTAGGAGTCAAGGCGGCAGGGGCAGCCAAAAGCGAAATCATGAAGGGAGAGAAACTTGGGAGACAAGGCGGCAGCGGCAGCCAAGAGCGAAATCATCAAGGGAGACAAGCTGAACAGACAGGGGGCAGCGGCAGCCAAAAGCCAAATCATGAGGGGAGACAAGCTTGGGAGACAAGACGGCAGCGGCAGCCAAGAGCGAAATCAAGGGACCAACAGCGACATCATGAAGGGAGACAAGCTTGGGAGACAAGGCGGCAGCGGCAGCCAAGAGCGAAATCACGAAGGCAGACAAGCTTGGGAGACAAGCGGCAGCGGCAGCCAAAAGCGATATCATGAAGGGAGACAAGCTTCACAGACAAGGCGGCAGCGGCAGCCAGAAGCGAAATCATGAAGGGAGACAAGCTTGGGAGACAAGGCGGCAGCGGCAGCCAAGAGTGAAATCATGAAGGGAGACAAGCTTGGAAGACAAGCCGGCAGAGGCAGCCAAGAGCGAAATCATGAAGGAAGACAAGCTTCACAGACAAGCCGGCAGCAGCAGCCAAAAGCGAAATCATGAAGGGAGACAAGCTTCACAGACAAGGCAGCAGCGGCAGCCAAAAGCGAAATCATGAAGGGAGACAAGCTTGGGAGACGAGGCGGCAGCGGCAGCCAAAAGCGAAATCATGAAGGGAGACAAGCTTGGGAGACAAGGCGGCAGCGGCTGCCAAGAGTGAAATCAGGAAGGGAGACAAGCTTCACAGACAAGGCGGCAGCGGCAGCCAAGAGCAAAATCACGAAGGCAGACAAGCTTGGGAGACAAGCGGCAGCGGCAGCCAAAAGCGATATCATGAAGGGAGACAAGCTTGGGAGACGAGGCGGCAGCGGCAGCCAGAAGCGAAATCATGAAGGGAGACAAACTTGGGAGACAAGGCGGCAGCGGAAGCCAAGAGCGAAATCATGAAGGAAGACAAGATTCACAGACAAGGCGGCAGCGGCAGCCAAAAGCGAAGTCACGAAGGGAGACAAGCTTGGGAGACAAGGCGGCAGCAGCAGCCAAAAGCGGAATCTTAGAGGGAGACAAGCTTGGGAGACGAGGCGGCAATGAAGGGAGACAAGCTTGGGAGACAAGGCGGCAGCGGCAGCCAAGAGCGAAATCATGAAGGGAGACAAGCTTGGAAGACAAGCCAGCAGAGGCAGCCAAGAGCGAAATCATGAAGGGAGACAAGCTTCACAGACAAGCCGGCAGCGGCAGTCAAAAGCGAAATCATGAAAGGAGACAAGCCTAGGAGACAAGGCGGCAGCGGCAGCCAAGAGCGAAATCATGAAGGCAGACAAGCTTGGAAGACAAGCCGGCAAAGAGCGAAGTCATGAAGGGAGACAAGCTTCACAGACAAGGCAGCAGCGGCAGCCAAAAGCCCGAAATCATGAAGGGAGACAAGCTTGGGAAACAAGGCGGCAGCGGCAGCGGCAGCCAATTTCCGCAATCAGCAGCCCATCCATTGAGAAGTAAGAACCCCTATAGCATCGCTATCTGGGGAAAAACACAAAGAATCCCCCCATAATCCTTGCAGAACATCGTGCTCAGTACTCAGCACTCACCGCTGCAAACTATCTATGAAAAACACCCGTACAACTGGATAGTTTAGAACCATTTCAAACACATCCAAATTACAAATATCTAAACACAGCTAAAACACATGCCTCCGTCGCGAAATCCCTGAATGAGGTCCTTGCCTTGTTTGAAGCCTGTGATGTTCGTATATCGAGCTGCAAACCAGGTTCAATCGCCTGTCGAAGATCGACGCATTTGCAAACAGTTGTCAAAACCAATGCACCACGCAAATGTCAAATTGTTTTGCGCAAAAAACTACAGAACTTTTAAGATCCTTCTAGCTAGGCTAGGTGACCTTGAAAACCCTAAGGCTACCATCAATCAATGAATGCCCTGGTAAACCCAGTGGTAAACTTACATTGGCTCCGCTGGCTTTGGATGAGTGGCGTGGAAACACAAGAAACAATTCCCAACACTTTGCAATGAGATTCGATAAAGAAGCAACTATTTTAGTGGTTTCCATTTCCCATGGTGTATATGATGTAACGAAAAATGTCAATAATCTTGCGCACACTAAAGATTCCCCATTATGATTGTGAAGTCCCCCGGCGAAGCTGCAAGTAAAGGTTCCCATGAAACTCGGCACGCGCTCACAACATCAGCGGGGTCACGCGCCAACCAACAATCGGAGAGGTCAAGTATCCAAGGGTCTGTGTCACTGGAAAACAACACCTAAGCAAAACTTTAAACTATCCATAAAACTGAGCAGTTTTAAAAGACCTGACAAGGCTAGTGCGGAACACACCGAGTTACAAACAAGCTCTATATTCATTCAATCCGACATACTCTGCAGGCAAACGCCAAAGAGAAACCTCGAGCACAGAGAGTTGCAAATGTTACAGGCTGAAACTTCAACATACTGCACCCGGAACGGGGCCGCATAGACCCTCAGCTACCCACTCGAGAAAGGAATACTTTGCGCGCAAGCGCCACAGAAAGACTTTGCGCGTAGAGAGTCAGGCTGAAACTTCAACCCGTAGTGTTCCCGAAACGGAGCTGTGCAGACCTTCATCATCCACCGAAAAGTTTGGCAAAAAAGACCTTGCGCGCAAATGCCAAAAGCATGCCAACCATCATGATCGCATAACCCCACCAAGTGCACACATCCATCCTCCGCCCTTCCTTCCCTCCATCCATCTGTCCGTCTACCCATCCATCATCCATCAAGCTCGAATTGCAATCCCCGGCTTATGATGAAAAACACAAGCGTCACCAACATAACTGGATCACCAACAATGACACGCCACCCTCAACAAACATGCATTAAACGGCCTTCTCATTGTTGACAAGACATTGTGAGCGTCAAGCGCGCCCGATAGGCCTGGGGGTCACGTCCTTTTGAGCGGCCGGCCATATTCAACTTCGGACCACTCTGCCACACTCATGTTTGCATTGCTGCCCAACCCAAAGAATTTGCTCATGCTGATTTCATGCAGTGTGGTGGCTAGACGGCTAGACTCGGCTAGACTGCGGAGTCCTGGTCACACGCTCCTTTTTTCCAGAGGCAAGATCACCTGATTCAATTTGAAGTCAACATCACACTTGAATGAATTAATGATAATCAATGCGCCCCAACCCAGATTCAGAAAAACGTGACATCAAATTTGGGCGACTCTTTGGGGCGCTTGAGCGTTCCCCCGATCCGAACATGGAGACAGCGTGCACCTTTTGCTTGCCAGTCTGAGAGATCCGCTGTAGCTGTCACTGGCGTCTGAATTCGCTGGAGGAGATGGCGTCGTCCCACGTGGCCTTGTAGGACGTGATGGCCTGTAGCTCATCGCCACCCTTCGCCGACTTGATCTCCATAACATTGTAGCAATCGTCCTCTGGCCCCTTCTGACTTGCACCAGTGTCACTCAGCGGCGGGGCGGCAACCTGCGCCTTTCTGCAAAATGTTGAATTCGATCTTTTACAGACAAGTGAGTTCTGAATTCTGAACGCACGCTTGCCCTTGTTCTTGCTCTTAGACAATTAGACTTGCCCTCAGCGCTTGTGCCTTTTTGCTTCTGTTGTGCTCTGCCTGCAGCGTAGCTGACAAACAACTGCTGCGCAGCCTCAACCATGGCAGTCTCATCTCATCTGCCTCACACACCCCGCCGGCCACCAGAGCAATCTGTCTCGGAACCCTCGATGCGGTCCCCTCGGGCCCTTGACAAGTCCTGATGCGCAGGCAGGCTCATGTTTGACATGCATTTCTCGGACTTGACGGGGTCAATGTGGGTAATCGGGGGAAATATATAATTTTGGCTCCAGTTAGCACAGCCATCCGTGGCCCAACGCGCAACATGCGCGTGGTCCCTCCTGTCTTGGCTGCCAGAGTCTGTATGGTGTGCCCTGGGTGGAGGAGCCATTCTGGCAACACTGCTGCTTAGGCGTCAAATGTTGCAGCCTGAGCCGCCTAAGCGGCTCAATCCATGTGATCTGGACTTCTGTATGTGGCAAAGGAAGCTTCCGGAAGCTTCCATCAAAGCAGCGTTGGGAGATGCACGCCCATCTTAGCTTACGTAATGAGCCAAGCTCCAACAAGGTCAGCTTATGCTGCCAACCACGCTGAACTAACGCGCCCTGGATCTGTGAGCCGCTGTGAGAGTCCAGCGCTGGGAACAGAGTCTCCAGCCCCGGCTCCGCTACCAGATTTTATCTCAACCAGGTCCGTTCGCTTTGTTGTACCACAAAGCTCAAGGGCCCTAGTTTGAGCCAAGTCCAAACGCACGTTCACCTAGATGCTTTATAATTATTAACGCTCGCAAATACAGGGTAGAATCACGGGTAGAATCACACGTGTCACATGTGCATACAGTATCTTGAGAAAGAACATGCTGTCCTATTTAATTGCTTCCTTTTTCTTTCCTGGAACTATGTGGAATTGGCTTCTGGAAACGCCGGGCTTCGTGAGGGTTGTCGCAAGGTGGGCAGTTCTTGTAAAACATGGGTAGAAACGGTGTAGACACATCAAAACAACAACAACAAGAAGTGAAAAGAGTAGAGGGGTCTTAGAGGGATCTTAGAGCGATCAAGGTTCCTTTCTGAAAGTTTAAGCGCTCTAAAGAAACCAAGCGCTTCCAAAGAAAACCGAAGAACGCACATTAAGCTGCTTTGGGGTCTTTTAGGGAAAAGCAACGAAACGAAGAGACATGAAGAGACCATGGAAACTTCTGTCACTCTGCTGCCCCAAAGATTACCTTGTTCAAGTCTGCCCCACATTCAGGTGGCACTGGGGGGTCGCATCCCTGGGCGCTATTTGAGGATACAACAATGGACATGTTGGATCTGGCTGCAAAAATCTGTCCCTCTCTCTTTGCCCTCTCTACCTCAGCTCGCCTTCTCTCTCTCTCTCTCCCTCTCTCGCTCGTTCCCTCAGCATCTTTTGTTTGGCTTTGAAGAAGGCCAGGTCCATCATCCTATGTTAATCGCACCTGGATAGGAAATGGATGCTCCCGCATTGAGATGCTTCTCGCTTCTGAGCGCGGTGTCTTCTTCTCCATTTGACCGACCTATGGGCGAAAAAAGCAAACAAGGGACAGTGGTGTTCCTATAAACTTGAGCTGTGTGACATGAAGCTTTTCAAACAGTCAGAGGCCTTTGGAGCAAACACCATGGCTGGAGAATCGGGTCGTCAAATTGAGTGGCAGTGATTAACGTTTATATGAAAGTCGTGGTTGGCATACGTCATAGCAACTCTGAACACATACTATACTGTATAAATCTGGGTGTTTGGCCTGGTCAAAGAAAGTTTCCACGAGAACGTCTGGAGGATCCTGTAGTGCAAAATCCATAACCTTCTTCTCCCGAATGGCCCGCTCCACCTCACAGTGCTTTTTTCATACCCATACTCAGCAAGCTATAATATAAACTCTGAGAGCCCTCGCGCGCGACTTGACCCTACATTCACATCGCTTACATGGCTGACTGTCACATTCAATGGACCTGCCATCAAAGGCTAGAATCGGCTAGAAAACAGCCCAGCGTACGCAACCACACAATGCCGCTTGCACACACACGCTGCGACGGGAAGGCTTGATTTACTCGCTTTGTTGTACGCACCATAGTTCAACCTCCTTGCATTGGGAACGTGACCCCTGCAGAGGGATACTGCTTGAACTGAACATAAAGTATACTGTTGTATCATGGGAGACAAAAGGAGCGCTCAACTTCTTCGCTGGTAGCGGCACTTGGTGGGAAGCCTAAAGATTGCAAGGCCCCTTTTGTGGGCACAGTCACCCGAAAGTCACCCGAGAAAAAACACATGAGACAGGCCGCACCAAAGTCCTATTGGTGCGCAGCGCACGAATTGCTTGCTTGGTGAACTTGCTTGGTGCAGGCACACGAATCACATCGCTCGAGGTACAAACCAAAGGCTGCACAGGAGGTTGTGCTTTCACTGGTGCTTCACCTTCGAGGAGCCAGTGCAGATCAGGGTTGGTGAGACACCTTGCAGCACACCAGGGAACCATCTTTAACACTTGTCTGGGAGCAGAGCAAAGAAGGAACCCAACTGCTACCCCAATGTTATGAGCACTGTTCAGATGGCTTGCGGCAAAGAATGAAAGACCTTAGGAGCCCTAGGAGGAACTGAGGCAAAGCTAAGTCAGCACGGAGAGCAAGCTGGAGAAGAAGCAAAACGGTGGCTGAAAGAGATGCAATAAGTTTCCGGAGACTGCTGCAGTCAACAGATGATAGGAACAAACGCATTGGCAGCCTGGAGCAGTGCTCTCCTTGGGAAGCCGCAGGAAGCCCAACATCAAGAAGTTTATGCGAGTGTGTGGTTCTTTGCGCCGAGATTCGGCGAGGCTTTAGGCGGCTGATCAGCTTGGACTGGCTGCCCAACATAATCTTCAACGCGCACTGTCTTGATTGAAAGGTCTACCAACAACACATCTTCTCGAATTTAATCCTTTCGCTCCTGCTCCTTCTGCCAGCACCAGAATTTCACTTTGTCTCCTTCCTCGTTTTGTTGCTCCTTTGGCCATGACAGTACGTGACTATCCAGCGCAGAATATCTTCCTCCTTCAGTCAGGACTTGCTTCAAGTGCCGGCAAGGAGAAGGAAGGTTGTCAAAAGGCACACGCACCTAGATCACCTAGCATCAAACAAGGAAACCACACAACTATAACAGAAAAAAACGAAGTACAGTGTTTTGCCGCATAGTCAACAAACTGGCTGGGACCACGCTGTGAGAATATATATATATATGAATATTGAATGTAGTGATTCTTTTGCTCAGTCTTGACGTTGAACATGGATTCCCCTGGAGCGGTTTGGCAAAGAACCAAGTGACCCTGGAGGACATTGAACAAGGTCTCAAGGTTGCCTGAAGTGTCATGAATGTGCTCAGGCTACTTTGCGCCGCGAACAAAGATATCATGCAGTGCCTGCAGAGCAACGTTGAAGAAACAACCAGCAAGCAAACCAAGAAGGACGACCTGCTTGGCATTGGCCATTTGTGGTGCCCTTGATGCCTCCTAGTCCTGGAAGGCACGAACTATTCTGTGGAGTTTGTGAAGGCATCGCAAACATAGCAAGTACCGAGCAAAGGACATGGTGGTTTCTTGTCTGCGTGACATGTTCTTGAAGGCTTGGGTCTGTGACTGGAACATTTAGGTGTGGCCTTTGGGTTTGCAGCCTGCTATGCTTTCACACGCGAGATGCAATCGGAATCGCGCTACATATGTGCATATCAGGCAGGCAGGTACGTTTTTATGGCAACCTTCACCAGTTGTCGCACACGGGCACAGGCCTTTCGCATTCTCAATGGCCGTACTGTACAGGTTGAAACTACATTTGTTGGCCAAAGTATTAGTTGCGACTTCCCTTCCAATTATATAGTTCAATCGCATCCTCGCCTCAAACAGGCACCAGGTCCGCGAGAAAAATGTGCTGACCTGGTCCTGAGTGGTAACAAACTCTGAAACCTGACTGAACCAAAACTGAACCTGAGTTTCCCATCCCTGACCAAATGATCGTTCCAAAACGGTTGTGATTTGTGGAACATGCAGTGTGTGTCGTGTGTGTCTATTCCTCTACCTCCAAAAAAACTTTGTGGTGTGAGTGTCCCCGAGAGTTGCTACCGGATCATCTGGTTGATTGCCAAAATGATCACGTTTACTGTCAACGGGCTCCATTATCTCTACTCACTCTATGGCAAAAACTCCTGCGACCCCGCTTCACGTTTCAAACGCAAACTGATGCAGCTTTGAAACTTCGTTGGCGCAGAACCCTCACTCAACCAACCCAGGACCAACAGTTGCAGGTTTTCCGAACTCTGGTGGTGCATCAGGGCAAAGAAAATGGGAACATGTGCAGGGGGACCTCAGGGCTAACATCATTTTGTTAAAATTTTACCTGGTAAAAACTACCAGTCGCACCTGCTAAGTTTCACGGGGCTGCCTTCTCCGAACAACATGCGTAGGAAAGGTTTCTTGCAATTGCTTTGCTCGGTGGAACTTGAAAAACAAAGTTTAACGGCGAGTCCCTAGCGAGTTATGAAAACGAACGCACTTGTAGGAATTTAGATCTTAAGTAAAGAACAAAGCCCTTGGCGGAGGCATAAAGAACGAACACTCACTAAACTAGATTAGCGTACTTCTCTAACCAACCTAGTTTTTGCGCGAGCTGGGACTATTTTCCACGTCCATGCGGAGGTCTGCAAAAATGAGCCGACTTTATGTTTTGCTACTTTTATTTTTTTGATGATGTTGGTGAATAAAGAACTTTTTTGAATACACTTTACAAATTCACGAAACTTATGCTCAACAAAACGTATGCAAAATGGTGCGAGAATCTACGCATTTTTTGGTGAGTTTGGCGCGACGTTCAGGATTTCTCCAAATTCAAGCCAACCTCAGAAGAATGTAGTACAAAAGGACTCAGTCTTCTTGATGATGTCCGAAGCGCCCAACCCACTCCAAAAATATGCGCTTCCAGTCAACAAAACAAGTTGGACACGGATAGGGCTTTGCTGAGTTTGCAGCGCAGCTATAAAAAACTCTGCCGGAACAGAAGGGAAGGTTTAATAACAACATACCGCTTAAGATCCGCTTGGAGTCTTTTCCGGACAAAGTGGAAGCCGCTGGAAACTGAGAAGTTGCAAGCGGGTTCTGAATACGCAGTTAGGGCTTGGGCGCTTCATAGGGTTGTCCTTATCGACTCCTGTCTTCCAATTAATTCTGCGGGTCCCATTTTCCAAAGCATGCTTATAGTCGTGTTCATGCTGAACCGCCAGCGCTCGTCAACTTCAACAACCCCGCCTGCCCATTTCGGGCCACTAGTGCCCGGACCCACCAAATCATCAATTGCACCTCTTCACGGCTATCTCGTCCCCGTCGTAGCTCGCAAAACGCCATCGCCAGCACCCCGAGCCCATCTGCGTCTAGTCGTCCGCAACTTCCGGTCAACTACGAGACTTCCGGATGAACGTGCCTGGTGCAAGGTCCCCGAGATGACATTCAACCTTCTTCCTGAGGGTCTTAGTGAGGCGCTCGAATCAAACTTAAAAACGCCAGCCCCGTCTTTCTCTAAAGCTGCTTTGATTTCTTCTGCGTGCGCCTGGGCTGGGTCCTCAAGCTTGCTTCTGACTCTTTGAAGGTATTGGCCACCGCCTCTGACATTTCCGTCTCATTCTTAAATCTCATAGGGCAGGTCGAAATTACTCGCAAAGTAAGTCCCGAGCTGCCATCCGCATTCTAAAATTAGTATGCCTCACTCCTTCGTCTGCGCAACCAAACAATCAGATCCCGCTGGCCCTAAAGACACGTTCGTCTTGAAACTGGGTCCATGGGATCGGCTAAGCTTGTGTGGAAGTTTATTGGTTCAGGCGCGTCAGGCGCCCGGCAGGCTGTGGTGTGGTCTGCCCTTCATTCAAGCACCGGATCTGTGTCAGATGCAGTGTGAGCAGGCTTAGCGCGTTGAGGGTTGGAGCATTGCCCACTGGAGGACAATCCTGGCAAGTTCAAGCTGATTGGCGTGAAGCCTCTTGCCCACTATGACTGCAGATTCTGATGGAAAGGATGGGTCGCCTGGAACAGCATCTAAACAGAAATAGGCGTTGACCTCGTCGTGGCGTGGAATGAGCGCTCCGCCATGGCCATGGCCACGCGGAGACGCATCTGTAAGCCGACGTACCTTCCCTCCTGCAAACTCCTCACAATGCTTTCAGCCCACAGACTGCGACTGCGATCTGCTTGACTAAGATCACGCCTTTAAACTTTACACTGCTTTGTCGTTGGGCTGCGATACCCTGCCAACAGCCCGCAGGATTGACAGCCAAGGTCTTGCAGGGGATATTGCAGATGAAAGACCGCCCTACTTAGACACCGGCTGAAATCTGAAGCAAATGAAGAGGAACCGTTCCACGTTCAATCTGCCCGAAAGTTACCAATAGTTTATCCCGCTCGCACTCTGCAAGCTCTACTTGCAAATCCTGTGTTGCTGGACCTGTGACAGTCAGCTTAAACCAATCCATACGAATCCACTGCAAGGTCGACCCTCTGGCGACCTTTTCTTCCAGGACACTTCCAACCCCAAACCGTGCAAAAGTGCCGTGTCGCCAAGCAAGTGTTTTGGAAAGTTGTTCGCAACTCGCTGCAACTGACAGTCATTAATCTAATATAATCTAATCATACCATATCTGTATATACAACCCTTCCTGGACTGAGACGACTTGAACATGTCGTTTATCTCTAAATTGTTTAAGTCATGTTTGCGATGCTACAAATGGCTCTAGATCAGGTTTTCACCCTAGCCTTGGATTTCCAAGATCCCATGGATTCTCGCCCCGTCATAAGGAAAAGAAGAGAAAGGGAGGGTTTCAACAGCACATGGTTCTTTGTCAGGTGTTCTTTGCCGCAGGATTGCTCAAGCTGCCAAATTTCCAGACCTGGATCACTTGCCCTAGAACCAAGCTCTAGTTGTGTTTCACTTTCGCCAATCCTTGGCTATACACGAAATATATCAACATATATGACGGTGAGCATCGGTTACAGTAGCCCAATCTCCTTAAGCATCCGAGTACCTATAATTACTTGGAGCTGTCTGGCCCAAATGTCACGCTAGGTCTTCAAGTTTCACTCTTCGCCAGCGCTGAGCCGCTGAGCCTAGCTGACTGGATCCCTTGACTCAAAAGAAATGTACTGCAAGTTCGACGCTATTACAAAGCTACGCAGGGCTGCGACCTTCTGCTGACAAGGCTCTCCCTTTCCAAGCATAAGCAAAAAACAGTCAGCCAAAGCTAGTGCACCAATAAAACCTCCAGAACGCTTTTTGCACGAATTTGCACGAATAGAGACTGAATGCAGCCAACACCTACGATCCACGAAACAAGCCATGAGGACACTGTGTGCAAAGCACACATACCTTAAAGCCTCATGCCGATTGTGTTCGACTGTCCAACTGAATGACTGTGAGCTTCAACTCTTCCTGTGGGTAGTAGTCTTGTTGACCTTCACCCTGATCCATTTCCAAACGCGTCTATTTGAGGCAGGTCGCCAGCATCTGGACCCTCTTGGAGATGTTTTCTTGGATGCCTTAGACTTTGCGGCACTTGCTCGAATTAATAATTGTCCTTTGCCTGCTACCGCATCCTCTGCTGTTGATGCAGTGTTCGATGCAGTCCAACCAAACTGACGTTGAAGCTCCTTCTTCTGGTCTTGCTCAAGACTTTGTCAAATAATTCCTTCCAGCAACCTTTCTGCAAAAGCGAATATCCAAAATAGGACTTCCTTGGTTGGCTCCCAACGACAAAAGGACTTGACAGTAGCCCAGGCTGGTCCGATCATTTAAGAATTTGAAGCCGATAAAGTCGCATCTATAAATTTCCAAGAACGAACTGAGAAAGAACAAACACTGAATCGGCACTCAAGCTTCTTGCTTAAACTCCTTTCTCCTGCTGTAGTGTTCCAAGCAATCTGGGAAGTGTTTGATCTTGCTTCCCCACCAATGACCTTGAAAAGAGTGCTTCGTTCAGCAAATGGACATGACAAAACTGCAAATACCTCACTCTGAGCTCCGCACTTATAAAGACCAAGGGACTTTGAGGTTTGCATTCGACAAGCTCTACAGCAGAGCATTGGTGTTCCTTGCAAAGGTGGGAAAGCAAAGGCAATGCTGATTTTGCGGGTCAACAGGATTACTCTTTCTGGCAGCTTGAAAAGGGAAAGCACAACGGGGAACACCGTCAAACCATAACTCATAACTCTGGCTCCCGAATGAGAAGTACCATCATGTTGACTCGCTTCGACCATTTAAACAGCCCACAGCACGTCCTGACAAGCTGGCAGAATCAAGAACTCGTTTAAGTGGTAGAAGTTCCTGGGAACAACGAGCACAGGAAAACGACAAAGCATGTTTTGCAGAGTTCATTGATGTTCATTATATTTATATAATCAATATTCATTGGGTCGTTCAGCTCTGCCGAGCACAAACTAGACATGTTCATGGAGTACGTGATGACAATCGTACACAAATGTAAGAGAAGCTTTTCTCTGAATCATCCTGACTGTAGTACGATCTTGGCCTTAACGATCCTAGTGTTCATAAAGCACACCCCTGAAAGAGTTGCCTTATTAAAGGGACCATTATATCTTTATTCCTAGCCATGTCTCCCAAAGCTAAATAGAACATTGGATTGGGAGGAAAGTCATGGCAGCCAAGACTCAGCTCTGCGGCTGACAGCTCAGGAACAGCCAATGTGGAGCAACTGGTGGATGCAAAGTCCACAAACCTAACACTTTTCTGGCAAAGGCCCGTGCTTTTTGTTCTGCTCTCGTCAAAGTGAAGGTGTGCATGTATGGTCTTTTGCACACTGCTGTCAACAACGCATGCTGGTTTCCGAGCGCCCAACGTTGCATGACCAGTCCCCTTTTTTGTCGTGTATAAACACAGCATTTGGGACTGAAAGGAACATTCGACGCTGGGGACACACTACGCTGGCCGTAGTTTCAATCTCATAAATTAGGTTGACTGTTTGTATGTTGACAACCAAATAAGCCCTACCTCTCTTGATGTATTACTATTTAGTCTATTAGTCATTCTTTTCTTTTTACATACTGCCCAGGCAAGCTGCCCTTTGCTACAAGGGACTGAGTGGCCTAACGCTCTGCGATCCTAAATGCACAGATTTGTAAAAGCATCCCCAGAATGTAGGAGAAAACACATTAAACAAAAAAGAACGAAGCTATAGTGCCAACATCGCTGCAATTTGTCAACCTGCGGGTATGAAAAGGATGTTCTCAGCGTTTTAAAATAATTTGCTGGCATTTAGTATATAATATCCAATATCCTATGCAAATCAATAGCTGCATATGCACCATTACCTGTTTCCTGTGCTTTTCTACATACTTACCCAGTGAGCCTCTCTGAGTACAGGCATGCCCCTGCAAGGTTTCACACATGTTCTCCCAATAGCCGTGGCAGGTGTTGAGTGACTGTGCGCTGACGAGCGATTGAGTAGCATAGTCCTGCTGAAAATATAAAGGTTGCATGTGGATGCATTTGAATGGTCTATTGGATACTCAACATGCTTATGTAAACAACTTGCTCATCGAGTGTCTCATCTCATTCTTCGAGCCAAACCTTAAGTGTGCATGTCCCTTGGAAGGTCTTGGAAAGCTTGGTTCGAATAGCAGCTTTGCCGCACCAGAATCAAGGGCCCTCGAATGCAAATTTAGGACATTTCTTTTTGGAGCTTTTTGAAAAAAGGTTTATAAAGAGTGGTGCGCATTTTTCGAGCCTTGCTTCCATTGTCTTGTGAGTCTGAAAGAGTATTTCATCTTTGAGCGTCGGTCCATAATGTCTGTTGTGGATTCTATGCGCGCAAGCAAAGCACAGGCAAAGTCGAAAACAAGCCAAGCAAACATATTTAGTAGCAAGTGCGTTGCTACTAGTAGCATCTAGTTCTAGTAGCAAATAGCTACTAGCTACTAGTAACTAGTGCGAATGTCCTTGTTACTAGTAGCGATGCATTGATGCACATCCGGCCTCCGAATTTGGATGGTCTTGATTGCCCGGTGCTCAGCTCGCTCAATGTAACCATGAAAGGGAAATGCCTTCTGCAGGTCCTGAAATGACGATCCTCAATTGCAGTATATATATCTCACTACACAAAGATATAACATTAATTTATATATAGTTAAATTTCCCCACAACATCTAGGAACTACATCATTAAACCTAAGCCTTTCAGCATCCAATCGTAGTAGCTACTTAAGTTAGAAGCTTCCTCTTCCCAACCTACCCCCAACCTACCCCCCGGCTTTAAACAACATTCACTTTCAAAATTTCACAAAGGCCTTCGGGCTGGTTGGCTCTCTTGGTAGCGCCCATGCTTCGCTCATATGCAAAGGTGTGTAGCTATTCTTAATTTACGTTCTTTGTCACTAGGGACTGTCAGCCGCCACCTATGTGTACATAGAAATACACATAAAGTATACATATGTATAATATCATCGTGAAAAAAATCCTTATCAATCAGAAGATTCCTGTAGTTTATGATATATGTATATATGATATGCAATCTTTTGCTGTCTTGTCTTCACAGAAGTTGCTTATGCGCGAATTTGGGCCAGTGCAGTGCATACTGTAGGGGCAATTGGATCGGTGGCGCCACAAGTTCAGTACAACCTCCGAAGCTGCTTAAATTGCGCCATTGTTGGCCGAATTTTACCTCAGCTGGTTTCGATTCCAGGCCTTGCTCTGCAACAGGAAGGGCGGCCATCTGAACACAGGCCATGCCAAGAGCAAACCAACCATGTCTGCACAGTGATTGCAGCAGCTACGTTTGATCAACATGACTTGTCCAGCCTTGCGGAGCTCTAAGGCCTCAAAACAGAAGCAACGCTCCTTCAACTAGGGTCGACAAGCACCACGTTTGCTAGCGGCCAAGGCCAGCGCATGTTTTTGAAAGCTGACAAAACTCACATAAACTATTGGCAAATTGAGGGATAAACAGCGGACATGCTGCAATTGTTTCTTATCTGAGCGGCAAGGAAACTATGTGATCTCTGAGTCTCTGAGGCTTGTGGTCTCCTTGGTGAGTTTGGGGTCAGTTGCAGGCAGTTGCAGCTGCTGCTTGTAAAGTTTTTTTGTGTACAGTATATAAGTCTTGAGCCAAATTGCAAAAATAGAGCACGAACAATAGCCACGCTTGGCTGCTTCCAAATTAATTTAAAAATCGACGCACTTCCCAATCCAGCTTCAGTCATCTATCATGCCCATCTTTCCAACTCAAAGCCATCACAAGACCCTCTAGAACTAGGGTCTTTTTGTTTTGTGTTGTCAATGTTGTGAATGCCATAAATCCTGCACGGATGGGTGATTACTGGTTAGGCCCGTCTTGAGCCCCCCGTGGGGGGGAAACAAAAACTCATTGTTTTGTGTTGTCAATGTTGTGAATCCTGCGTAGATGTGTGTAAAAAAGGGCCACTGCAGCGGACGGGCGGCAATATGCAGGAGACGTCCACAAAAGCCTCGAAGTGTGCTTTGATTTTTTTACAGCGACAGTAAAGCGGTACAAATGTGCTAACAGGCACGGTAGAGCCTTAAGGGAGGAGGAATGGAACCAGATGTCAAGACTAGTGACCAACAATTTTCTCTGCCATTTCCTGCTATCCGCAATCAAATTCAATGCCAGTGTTCCCAAGGTCGATGACAAGCGCACAATATGTTGTTCTCCACATTGACGTGTGGGGTTTTTGTTTTTAGTGTTGGATCCGCTCCTTCCTCCTTCTCCTCCTCCCGTTTCCCGTGCTCTCCAAGTGGTGGGATGTTGCCTGGTGCTCGCAGGTGCTTGTGGGTCGCCGCCGCTGCGCCGCTGTGGTTTGCGTGGCAGGCGCAGCACTTGGTGCACTCCAGGGGTGCCACCCACCAACCAATTGCCACCGACCAATTGTCACCAACCAATTGCCACCCACCAATTGTAATTGTCACCAATGTCACCAACCAATTGTCAACAACCGATTGCTACAAACCAACTGTCACCAACCAATCAATGGTCACCCACCAATTGCTACCAACCAATTGTCACCAACCAATAGTCATCAACCAATTGTCATCAACCAATTGCCACCCACCAATTGTCACCAACCACTTGCCACCCACCAATTGCTACCAACCGATTGCTACCAACAAATTGTCACCAACCAATTGTCACCCAATTGCCACCCACCAATTGTCACCAACAAACCTCCACCAACCAATTGCCACCAACAAACTGCCACCAACCAATCTGGGCAATTTAAAATAACTCCTGGGTCGTCGGTTAATTTCATTATTTTCAAAACTGAATTTAGTGACGTCGTTCAAATTAGGAAATTATTTTTACGTCGTGTGCCCTAACGCCCCCAGCCAGCCAACACGCTGGCCAGCCAGGGGCGACCAAAGCTGAAGCCACGTGTCCACCTGCGCGCGAGAAGGCTCTGGGCATTTTGTGGTTAACACAATTTTTGAAGGTGTAGTTTGTTCTACTACAAAGGGAAAACCTTGTTGGGGATCAGTCTTGTCCCTTCCAATTGTTCATTCCTACTTTGTTGAACTAGGGCGTTTTTACTTCTTACAAAGGGGAACATGCTTTGTATCCAAAATCTATTTTTGGGGGTGTAGTTCGCTCCTAGTAGTAAGGCCAGGAGCCCCTAGTAGAGTCCCCACTCCTAGTAGTGGAAGGGGCACCAGCAACAAGCAACAAGACACTTTGGTCGTTCGTACGAAGCTCAAGAGCCAGCTCAGCTCAGCAACGAAACGCAAAACCGCAAGCACAATGTATTTTTGCCAGGGAGGGATGCAAGGACAACGCAAAGGAAAGCTAGTTTTTCCCAGCGTAGTTTGCCGAGCTACAACCTAATAAAGCCCCAACAATCCACTTTCAAGGCCGCTAGGCCTCAAATCCTAGTTCGGCGAACTAGGCCCGAAATCGTTTTTGGGGACCCGTCTGAAAAGGATAGCTTCGTTTCCAGGCCCAGACGGCCAAACCCGACAACTAGCCATGAGACAAGCCCCTGTAGTGAAGCAAACTCGAGTTAGGACCACATGCTTCACCTATCACCTCGGGAAAGTTTATGGGTTCGACTCCCCTTACCCCCCTCCTGTTTCCTTTCGGTGGGTTAGCCCAAAATCTTGCTTCAAGAGACAAATTTGACAACACGCAAAGGAAAGCCAGCCAAAACCATTTTTTCCCAGCGTAGTTTGCCGAGCTACAACCTAATAAAGCCCCAACAATCCACTTTCAAGGCCGCCAGGCCTCAAATCCTAGTTCGGCGAACTAGGCCCAAAAACGATTTTGCCAGTAAAGAACCAGTCAGGTTCGGTGTGAAAGGGAAAACAACCAAACCATCACTATTTCAAGTTCCAAGGATCTTTTTCGTCCACAAGCTCTGGCTGAACGCGCCGTCTCTGAGAGGCTTTGGGGTTTGGGAACACGCTTGGCCGAATGCGGTCCGTAGGTGTTGTTGGGCACTCATCATGGCTAGAGGGCCGCTTCATGGGGCACAACTAAAAGAACTTCAAAACTTCCTGACCTCGAAATTGGGCAGTGTTTTTTAAGTGGTGTGGAGAGTGAGCAGGTGAGGCATGACTTCTTAGTTTTTTTTTGCAAACTCGAGCCCGAAAACTCAAGCAAAACTGACATCCTCTTGCCCCATGCAAATCCAGTCCTGGATCCAGTACCCTGCCCACGCCCGGCCCGCCTCCAAATCTCTGCCAGGACTGTGAAGTCGATGAAGTGTGTGTGTGTGTGTAACCCTTGGAGTCATAGGGATCCTTCTGGATTTGTTTAGTTTTATTGCAGGGGGG